GTATGACTTTATGAATTGGTTGTGTCTTTATGAATTGTATTATACGCTTAGCAATTATTAGAGGCTTAAAACATCCTTCACTTTCAGATTTCCTAACATAAAGTATGAGTTTATCTAAATTCTTTATCCATATTAGATATATGACAAATTATTAAGTATATATATATGGCATATTAGATATATACCAAATTACTTAACCGATTAATTGGTTTGATTGGTTAGAAGTGTCTAAAACCAAACTAACCACCTAACCAAACAAGCTAAACAATTTAACCAAACCAAACAATAATCCAAATTATTCATATACTACCAATTAAAATGATTACTACGATAACCACAACACCCCTGCTCACGAGTCACGATAGCTCATCCCATCAACCAAAAGCAAACTGAAACTCCCACCTGCAAATGCAATCCAACAAAGCCCACCACCGCAGCACCAGTGTCACGCTTGAAATCCACAAGGCTAAATCTTCGAACTCAAGACTTTTATCTAACAATCCGAGCCCAATTCTTAACTCTTAAGATTAGGCTTAGCTGTTCCTCCCAGAGTTTGGACGTCCAGTTTGCTAAAACCCCTTGCGTCGTGCGCTCATATGTGATGGGCCATCCAAAAAACTACCTTTGCGAGGCCTAACTAAGTTTGGGCTTGTGTTAAGTAGAAAGGGCCCAGGGGCTGGATCTGTATCGAAATAAACTTCTTATCTCTTCCCTTTTTCTAACCCATATCCGTCAAGTAATACTGAAGTACTATGCATAAACGCCTAGTTAGGACTTAGGACGGGCAATTTGAACCCACTTCACTGAGTATTACTCTCAACTCATTTTGGTGTCGTCAAACCTGTCACAGATCAAGCAATATTCGGTTGTTTGTTATGAAATCACTCAGAACCCTGACTTGCTACGGTCGAGATGAACCTGAGTATTTGCTCCATTACCTAGGTGGGCTTGAGGGGAGCATATCAGGTGAGTAACCTTGTGGTGAGTAACCATGAGTAACCCGTCCACATCAGTATGACATCAGCATCCTCTCTCTCCTGGAAAGCTTTTAATTTTCCCCTCTTTAATCTTTGACGAACGATTTCTCACTCATTTTAAGTCAAAATTTAATTTTTTTTGCACAATTAGATCAGATTAATTGTGTTCTTCAAAATGATATACACTTTAATATATTTTTCGAACAAAAAAAATTGAGCCATTTTTTACCAGTCTATACCATATGGTATTGACTGGTATTGAAATAAAAGCATACATATGGTTTGAAAAAAGTACCATGGTGGTATGAACAAACCAAGACTGTAGGATGGTTGAATACATGATAGTAGAAATATATTAATTGTCATTTACGACTTTTAACATTGTATACCACAAGATACCACCCCGTACCAGGGTGGTATTGTATGGTATTGTGTGGTATTTTTTGGTCCTATAATTTGTTCACCCATAAATTTGTAGATCCAATAGATCATGATCAACTCGTCCCTTCTGTGCAAACGTTTTCAAAAACGAATTAAAAACGAAAAGATACCATACAATACCACCCCGTACCAGGGTGGTATTGTATGGTATTGTGTGGTATTTTTTGGTCCTGTAATTTGTTCACCCAGAAATTTGTAGATCTAATAGATCATGATGAACTCGTCCCTTCTGTGCAAACGTTTTCAAAAACGAATTAAAAATGAAGAAAATACCATATGGTATGCAGTTGGTACCGAGAGGCCATAATTTTTTGTTCTAAAAAAATATTGAAAATTGATCTCATTTTGTAGAGCACGATGAACTCGTTCCACCTGTGCAAAAAAATTAAAATCCGAGTTAAAATGAAAAAGATATGAGCCGATTAAGAAAGGTAGAGAAAATAGAAATGATCTTTAATTCTCCATCCTTATATCTGGATTTTCTAAATGAAGGGTTCAGATTTGGTTATTGATGGATGCATAACCCATGGTTATGCACTCTATCTTGAGCCGGGCTTGAGAGGTACTATAATGCAGAATGTCTATTCGGTTGGCTTTGACCGTTGGACACAACCATAGCAGAGTTCAGATAGACTCATATTGTGGAGAGCAGATGGTAGAGGGCATTGTGTTCAGAGTTGAAGAAGCTAATGTGAGCTAATAATTGTTGAATAAAAAGCTATCAGGAGATGGATAAGATGACGAGGCCATTATGATAGGCACCACAATTACGCAAGAATTATTGAGGTCATTAATTAAGTTGTCCCCGCGGCTTATAATGCTATTAATATTATGGAACAGAGCTAGAACTTGTAGTTGGACGTTGGTGCAATAACGAAAGCCACTATATATGGGTATGAAGTTTGCATATGTTCAAATATTATGTATTTAATATAACAGATCAAAATTATCAGGATTCGAATAAAAGACCCATCGATAACAGAAAGCTCTGATACCATGTACCCGAGGATTTAGATTGTGTTCAGACTTGAGCAGCGGTACTGGAAGCTTCAGAAAAGATAACAAAAAGAATGATATGATATGGAATCTGCATTCGGCAGTGGAGTGAGCATTATGGCACTCAGCTTCCGACCCAACCCACCACATTAGTTCATTTTTCTGCCGTTAGGCCCCGCAAGCAATCTACCCATCCAACCCAACTCTTACCGGCCAAAACCAACCATATGCGATGCCACCTACTTGAATGATTAAGGAACACTAATTTCTTTTGGTTGGACCCTAATCATTATTATAAGGAATAATTATTACGCTTTTTGACTCAAGTGTCTCCCACAATATCTTTGATGATAACAAAAAATAATTGTAGTAGCTACTTATAGTGTTTCTGCCCGTCAAAGTGCAATCAATTATGTAAATCAGATTATCTTCAATTATATAGATTAAATTCTACTTTCTAACTTGATATAATTATTAAAGAAAAATAAACCACAAGCAATTAATGTTTAGAGTAGGAGAAAATGTTGAGGTTGATCTAGTGGTAATGTGAGGATGATCACAAGCAATTAATGTTTAGAGACACCAACCCTCTAAAAAAAATTTGGAACTATATATAGAACACAGGCCTTTTATTTTCCCCTTAAAGAAAAACGTTACTTGGGGGTTAGATCGATACCCACAGCAATAACGCTTGGTCCTAGTTACGCCAGGTTGCTTGCTCCACCCAAACTTAAATGCTGTTCTCCATTATGGTATTGCCCATCCCTTTCCTCATTGGCTGTGATTTTCAGGCTGCATTCCCCAAAAACAATGGCCAGCTTAGCATTTAGCAACACATAGCCGGCCGCTCTGCAGTGAAAGAAAGGAGTGCCGGAATCAGAATGAGACACAAAACTGCTGGAACTATGTACGCTATGAGATGCATTCAAGCTTGCTAGCTGCCTAATACTGAAATGTGTGTAGACTGCAGATTGCTGTTCTCGACATAGCTTACGGTCAAAAACCTGTTCAACGTCTTGTTTTAACTAGCCAGTCGTCTTTGTATTGTTCTAAGGTTTTGAGTTAGCTAGCTTAGCTTTATGGGAAATAGCAAAATTGCTTGGTCTTGTTAGGAGATTGTCATATCGGATAAGAGTTTTTGGAAGGAGATGAGCTTTGTTTTCCTTCACTTTGAAGTAATTCATTGAGATAAAAAAAAATAAAAAAATTCTTCTCCATTGGTCAGGGACGAAGTCGGGATTATGGGTTTGGGGGGCTGGGAATTTTGAGTATATTAGTGTAAGTAGACAAAAAAAAATCAAATTAACTATATAAATATATAAAAATTTGATTATGTTAATTATAGAATTTTTTAAAAAAATCAAAGTATAAAATTGAAATAACTAGATTGATTTTCCATCAAACGTATAATTATTGAGTATCGAACCCCTAAATAAAAGTTTAAATATTGAATAATTATATTGGTTTTCTATCAAAATTAAAAATATTGTTAAACTAACTCGGGAAAAAATTATCACTAAAACAAACTAATTATAAGTTGGATAACATAATTGGAAAAACGTCATGACAATTGACATTATAATTAAATTTAAGGAAATAATTAACTATACATTGAGAAATCATTAATCATTAATAAATCAAAGTATAATTTAAATAATAGAATGATTTTCTATTAAACTTAAAATTATTGTTAAACTTATGGGGGGGGGGGGGGAATTATTATTAAAACATGCCAATTATAAGTTGAATAACTTAATTGAAAAAATTCATGAAATCATAATATAAATTTAAGGAACTAAATAACTATACAGTGAGACTATAACTAATAAGTAATAACTGACGACAAAAGTGAAAGTATCTCGTAGTGGGGTTAGTCAAGTAAAACCAAGGGAAAACGCTCTGAAAAAATGCTCTCAAACGATAACGATGGATCCTCCTTGCCGGCGCCGGCCCTACTCCCCTCAGACCGACCGCCTGACCCCTCTTAGTTCCCCGGCGCTAGCCGCTCCTAATCATTCATCAATGGTTGTGGCGTAGGCCACAGGAATTTCGGATATGACAATTGACTCCTCTTCTTTGTCTGTGCAACAGGTGTTGTCGGAGGCTTTGACGGCGGATACGCAATCAGGACAAGCGACTGGGAAGGCGCCGGGCCAGACTTTTTCCTATGCCAATGCTGTCATGGGACTACCACAAAAGACGACGATTTTGAACCAATCTGATCAATGGACTCCGGTGGGAGAGCATGATCTAGTGCCTGGCGATCGGAACGGGGAGCCAGCGCTCACAATATCGGCAGAGTTCAAGGGGAAGTTATGTGCACCCTGGAAAAGAACGCTGGTGGTTAGGTTACTCGGACTAAGAATTGGCTTCGTTACTCTGTGCAATCGGCTCAGAAGCTTATGGCGGCCGACGGGTTCAATAGAAGTTAAAGATCTGGACCACGACTGCTTCCTGGTTAAGCTGGAGAATGAACAGGATTACTTCCGTGCTCTAACAGATGGTCCCTGGGTAATTTTTGATCACTACTTGGTCGTTCAGCAATGGTCGCCAAAGTTCAAGGCCTCCGATCCCCTTCCAAAAACTATGATCGTCTGGGTTCAGCTCCCGGCTCTGAAAATTCATTTTTACCATAAGGAGGTTCTGACTATGTTGGGGAATCTCATTGGGCGGACCATCAAGCTAGATTATCATACCCTAACTCAGCAGCGAGCCAAGTTTGCTCGGTTAGCGGTAGAAGTTGATATCTCGAAAGCCCTGGTTCCTAGAATATGGCTTGACGATGAATGGCAGAAAGTTGAGTATGAGAACCTCCCCGAGGTCTGCTTCAAATGCGGAAAGATCGGTCACAACATAGGTACATGTCCCCAGATCGTTACGGTTGCGTCACTGCCGCAAGGGAAGCTCGACGGGAATCCAGTGCCGGCCGGCCCGTCTCCTTCATCGGAAGATCCCAATCCGGGGTTCGGGCCATGGAAGTTAGTAACGAGAAATTCGCGGCGGAACTCAGGGGATATGCAAAGAAAAGGAAAGGGGGAACAAGACGCAGGGACACAGTTGATTGTTTCCAAGAATGGGAATCGTGGAGCAGCTGGCAAGGAAGCAAATCAAACCTTGCCCATTTTGGCGCCAACTAATGATCCCTCGCATCAACATAATCGAGCCCAAGAAAGGAAAGTTAGTAACGGGAAGAAAAGTGCTGATGATGGGAAAAAAGGAAAGGGGAAGGCAATTAATGACACGGCAGGAAAAGCGAAAGGACTTCTTGGGCCGGGGCCCAATTCAGAAGCCTGCCCCAAAAGCCCGAGGCAGATCGTGCAAGAAGGGGCCTCAACCTCGCATAGCCCGCCAGGGTCGTCCGTTGGCCTGGTAACTCGTCTGAAGAGTCCTGATGCAGCGAGTGGGCTCACAGCCCAAAAGCCAGCTGCTGGCCCACCTCAACCTCCAATATTCCGTTCGGTATTGGGCCCTAATGGTACCTTGATGCAGATAGTCGACAACCCACTCTCACCGATCGACAGCAGCGAACCAATTCCCTCTTTGACTGCAAGAACAAAACGGAATAAGAGCAAGAAAACTCAGGGGAAAAGGTCGCCGACCAAGCTAAATCCGATGAAACCTTTGCAGATCTGGTCGCCGGTGAAGAAAAGGAAGCCCAAATCAAACTCACGGTTGGCGTCGCTGACGTTGCAGGAGATAAATGCTTGGACGGAAGCAGCAAAGAGACCGCCGAATGGAGACGGGGAGAAGGTGTCGATCGGGCTGGACGGCCAGGTGCAGGAGGAAAGTCTGCGCGGGGCATCATCGTCCTAGGCGACTCGGCAGTCCTCCCCGTCTGGTGTCGTCGTCCGCCCGCTTGTGGGTGTTCTCCAACTTTATGTCGATGAATTACAAATTTAAAGTGTTTTCGTGGAACGTCGGTGGCGCAGGGAGTAGCGCGTTCTGCAGGGCCTTGAAACTGGCAATTCAGACTTACCGGCCTGATTTTGTGGTGCTTCTGGAACCACAGCTAAGCGGCAACTCTGCTAACGCAATTTGTGATAGACTTGGTTTCCCAAATTCTTTCCGGGTAGAAGCAGTGGGACGGAAGGGCGGAGTGTGGGTTTTCTGGGATGGTGGTATGTTCTCAGTACAGCCTTTCTCGGCCTGCTCGCAGCAAGTAACTCTCAAAGTCTCCGCAGCCAATAGATCACCTTGGATGTTGACGGCTGTCTATGCTTCTCCTCGGCAAAGGGAGCAACGGTATCTGTGGGAGAGTCTGATCTCACAAAGTAACTATATTGATATTCCTTGGCTGCTTACTGGTGACTTTAATGCCATTAGCAAGCCGGAGGAAAAGTCGGGTCCCCCTGCGAGGAACACTCTGAGGAAGTGTCAGGTGTTCACGGAGAGGCTACACTTAGCAGAGCTCGTCGATCTTGGTTTTTCGGGGCCATAGTTTACCTGGGCTAGAGGTGATCAGAGCTCTACGTTTAAAGCTAGTAGGTTGGACAGGAGCTTGTGCAATCTCCACTGGAACGTAGCGTTCCCTAACTCGTCTGTGGTGCACCTCCCGCGGCACCAATCCAATCACAACCCAATCCTCACCAGTGTGGATCTGCAGACAACTCATAGCCAAGCTACTAAGACCTTCAGGTTCGAAGCAGCTTGGTTGACGAATGGGAATTTACCTACTGTTATTGCCGAAAATTGGGACACCAATGTTCCACTTCAGAATGCGCTGCATCTGATGGCTGGTAAGCTTGCCGAATGGAACAAGCTGGTTTTTGGTGATATTATGCAAAGAAAGCGGAGGCTGCTGGCAAGAATAAAGGGAGTGGAGTCAAGACTTGCAGATGGGTTCTCCTCCGGTCTGGCCAAACTGCATTCAAACTTGACCCGTGATCTTGATAAAGTGCTGGAGCAAGAGGAGCTTGTTTGGTACCAACGGTCGAGAGACAGTTGGGTTAAGTATGGGGAGAGGAACACCGCTTACTTTCACCAGCAAGTTAACATCAGGCGGCGTTTCAACAAGATCGAGGCCTTGTTGGACGATCTTGATAATTGGGTGACAGATCCTCACTCCCTTGCTATCCTTGTTTTTGAATTTTTCACTAACATTTATTTGCAGGATAGTTCCCCGTATGAGGACCGTTTACCTAAAGACTGTTTCCCTAGACTGAATCAAACAGAGGCGGCTGCTGTGTTCAGACCGTTTATCATTCAGGACATCCACAAGGCAGTCTTTGACATGAAGCCGTTTCAAGCCCCGGGCCCAGACGGGTTTCATGCGGCGTTCTATCAGCAGTTTTGGCAGGTGGTAGGGAAGTCTCTCTCCGATATGGCTCTTTCTTTTTTCATGACAGGTACTCTTCCGGAGGCGGTGACTGAATCTACGCTAGTGCTCATCCCCAAAGTGGACGCGCCAGAGAGGGTTACTCAACTCAGGCCTATTTGATGAGGACATCAATGGGCCAGTCACACGTGCTAAGGCAAGGACGTTGAAGGAGAAGCTTGCGACATATTTGGATAGCTACTTTGGAGCCATGGATGTGGAGCTATTTCGAGGGAAGCCATATATGATGATTCGAGTGGAGGAAGAAGGAGGAAGTGCTGAAGAGAAGGCAGATTGCAAGAAGCAGCCTTAACGGGTTTGCTTAACGGGTCCAGCCTTAACGGGTTTACTTAACGGGTCCAGGCTTAACGGGTTGGGCTTAACGGGTTTGCTGGGCTGTTTCCGAGTTTCCTTGTTTTAAAGTCGGTTTATGATTGTTTTTCCATGTTGGAGTCGGATTTGGGTTGTACTTTGCCTATTTAAAGGGCTGAACACGTTGGTTTTGGGATTAGACGATTATTATTGAATTTCAGAGGCTAAAGCCGAGTTCCCTACGCGGAATTTGCCCTAATTGCTCTGTCGAGAATCTCCAGAGTGCTAGAGCGACTCTTATCAGCTAGGTAATCACCCTGGTTGTGGCGAGCTACCCATATCGATTGCCCTTTATTCCGAGTTGAATCTGTCCGATCGATTCATATATCGATTGCCCTTATTCACGGGTGAGTACTGTCCGATCGATTTCCATCCTATCCGGTTCTGTTTGGTTCGAGAAGCTTGACCCTGCGCAACTTTGATTATATCAAGTGGTATCAGAGCCCTGTTCAAATCAGTGGCGTGTTCTTGACGTTTTTTTTGAAGATCTTGTGCGTTCTTGTTTGTGTTCTTGGTGGTTTTGTGCGAGTTCTTGAAGGTCTTGGCGTGTTCTTGAGCCGCAAGACAGGAGGTTGTTTGTTCTTGGGAGTTCTTGGTGATTCTTGCGAGGCAAGAAGCAGGTTGTGCGAGTTCTTGTGTTCGTGGACTTTTCTTGCATCGCAAACATGGAAGCAGCACTCGAAGCGATCAGAAATCAATTGGAGAACATTGCTCGTGCTCAAGAAGAGCAAACAGTAAGGCTTGCCGAGCAAGCCACGAGGATGGAGGCTGTCGAGACAAGGCTCCAGCAGCCGGTTGTGGTCGATGCAAACCCTAACCCTAGACCTCGACAAGAAGAAAGGGGTAGGGAAAACCGAGCTCCTCCACCCTTGGTTCACGAAGTACAGCGTCATATGCGCCAGCATAGACGCCTTGGAATGCCTAGAGCTGAAAGGAGAGGACGACATCAACATCATGAAGAGGAGTTTAATGACGAGGAAGAAGAGGGCTTTGAGGAGGATGATGATTTGCGAAACCTCAAGGTCACGATTCCACCTTTTCGCGGTACCACGAACCCTGATGCTTATTTGGATTGGGAGCGAAAGATGGAACTAGTGTTTGATTGTCATAACTACTCCGAGAAGAAGAAAGTGACATTGGCTGCCCTAGAGTTCTCGGATTATGCACTTGTTTGGTGGGATCAGTTGGGAACGAAACGAAGGAGAAACAGGCAGCGTCCTATTGAGACGTGGGATGAGATGAAAGGAATTATGAGGGATCGGTTTGTACCGAGTTCCCATTTGCGAGATATGTATCAAAACCTCCAGCTTCTCCGGCAAGGAACTAAAAGCGTTGAAGATTATCACAAGGAGTTGGAAGTGTTGATGATACGTGCTGATGTGAGAGAGGACCGCGAGGCTACCATAGCTCGTTTTCTGTATGGTCTCAATCGAGAGATCAAGAACGTGGTGGAGATACAACCGTTCCTTGAACTTGAAGATTTGGTGGATATGGCAAGTAAAGTGGAACGACAGCTTCGAAATAGGAGGTTTCAACCCTCCATGAATTCCACACGTTCGAGCCAAGGAGTTGCAACCAACCCTAAGCCGCAACTGCCCGTGAAAGAAGCTCCTAGACCCGCGGCAAGGGCTGATGGTGCAAATCCAGTTATGAAGCAAGGTGGATCGTCGGGGGAAATTCGTTGTTTCAAATGCCATGGAAGAGGACACATTGCGAGCCAGTGTGCCAATAAGAAGACCCTGATCTTGCTTGATAATGGCGAGTATGTATCAGAGGAAGAGGAAGAGACCACCGATTCTGATGTCGATGAGTCTATGGAAATGGAACCACCTCCTGGCAGCTTGTTTGTAGCACGGAGAGTATTGTCTGTGCAGCCTAAGGAGGAGAGTGAACAGAGAGAAGATATCTTCCATACGAGATGTGTAGTTGATGGGAAGTTACTGTCTCTAGTGATCGATGGAGGAAGTTGCACGAACGTTGTGAGCGCGTGTGCGGTGAAGAGGCTAGGGCTGCCTACGTTGAAGCATCCAAAGCCATACACGCTGCAATGGCTTAACGATCACGGATCCATCAAAGTCACAAAGCAGGCACTAATGAAGTTCGAGATTGGAGATTACAAAGATGAGATTTTGTGTGATATAGTGCCTATGCAAGCTGCACATGTGCTTTTTGGCAGGCCATGGCAATTTGATCGACAAGCACAGCATGATGGAGTGACAAATAAGTACAAGTTGCAACATGGAGGAAAGAAGTTCGTGTTGAAGCCTCTGTCTCCAAGTGAAGTATATCGAGATCAACTCCAAATGCAGCAACGTCGAGAGCAAGAAAAGGCAAGTAATGCCTCGGCCAAGAAAGGAGAAGAGGGAGCTGGAATTGTGGATTCAAGGGCAGTGATGCTAGCACGCAATGGAGATTTGAAGCAAGCTGCCTGTGCACGAGAACCTTTGATTGTGCTCATGTACAGGGACGTGCTACTCAATCAAGAGCTAGTCCAAGAAGTTCCAGCCGAAGCAAGAGTGGTGTTGGATGAGTTCGAGGATGTGTTTCCAGAGGAAGCACCGAAGGGGCTGCCTCCTATTCGCGGAATTGAGCACCAAATTGATTTCGTGCCGGGAGCTCAAATTCCAAACAAGGCAGCATATCGAGCTAACCCGGAAGAGACCAAAGAGCTGCAAAGGCAGATTGACGAGCTCATGGAGAAGGGGCATGTTCGAGAAAGTTTGAGCCCGTGTGCAGTTCCGGTGATTCTCGTGCCAAAGAAGGATCACACCTGGCGGATGTGTGTAGACTGCCGAGCCATCAATCAAATTACAGTTAAGTATCGTCATCCAATTCCACGATTAGATGATATGCTTGATGAATTACATGGCTCTACGGTGTTTTCCAAGATTGATTTGAGATCAGGTTACCACCAAATTCGTATGAAGGAGGGAGACGAGTGGAAGACTGCGTTTAAGACCAAGCAGGGTCTATACGAATGGATGGTGATGCCCTTTGGTTTAACCAATGCTCCTAGCACTTTCATGAGGCTGATGAACCATGTTTTGAGGCCATTCATTGGCAAGTTCGTGGTCGTATACTTCGACGACATTCTGATCTACTCGAAGTGCATGGAGGATCATCTCAA